ATACTATAGTGAATTGGAACATGAGTTTAGGATGATTGGTGCTAGGATTCCCTCTACTTTACCTCAAGAACGAGGATAAGGATACTCCAACTTTCTGGCTTCTACTGTACGGTTTGTAGACCTACACCTTGAAATCCTCATAGATGCCCCAACTACCCGGGAATATATACCCCCAAATACCCCCTATGAAGGACCATAAGGGCTTAAAGCGGGTCCTGGCTTGTAGAACCCTTAGATCCCAATCAATGGGTGTTCCGTTGTTCACTTTGAATCGGAGGGCTCTCTGATGGCATTTCGGGCTTCATGGTTTCCTTTAAGGGATCTGTAGGGGCATTATATGTGCGCTGGCTTGATAGGTTTAGGGGTTGAGGGTTAGGGTTTTTTTCCAGTGTTGTGTCTAGGTAGTGAGAGTTTAGGGCTTTAGGAATTTCGGGCTTAGATGTACAGGCGTGCCAGACACCGAGCATAGGGCGAGTCTGGCAATTGGAACGCCATTCTTCTTGCATTGAGTAGCGTGTTTCTGGGTGGTGTTGTGGGTTTATCGGGATTCTGTAGAGTTCTATAGGGGCCATGGTCTGTAGATAAATCCCGAGGCCTGCCTAGTATAGAGTATACTGTATACTATACCCCGAAACCCTCTTCGATCGACATGCCGTTAGATATCCGTGCTGACTAGACATTCACCGAGTTTTGGATGCTTGCCAGCGCGCGCATCTTCATCAAAAGACTTGCATCAGGATGTGGACCTCCGAAAACGACTAGCATGCTGCACTTGTGCCCATCTAGAGTTCAGAGTGAACGTGCCTAAAGCTTAAGCAATCGTACTTCGTAGGACTTGGGTTTCGGATACGGAGTTGTGTTTCGTTTCAGGCGCTTTGGATGAAGATTGCTCGCGCTGGCTGCTTCTCAAACTGTTCCTATGCATGCTGTTCTTTTGCATGCATGTGCCATTGATGGCCCTTACCTTCAAACCCTAAGCTCTAAATCCTAAACCCCAAACCGTCCTGTGTCAGGATGGGTTGTTACTTTCAACCTGATTCCCAGAACCCTCCCACTTTACATAGCATGGGCGCCTGAAGGATCTTCCTGGTTTCCTAGTACAGTTAGTGTAGAGGCCTTAATAATTAGAATGGGGGGTTTGGGGTTTAGGGCTTAGGGTTTAGGGTTTAGGGTGTATAGTCTACTATAACTATAACTGCAAAAAGGAAGCCTCAATATAGTATCGGCAATGACTCAGGCGCCTAGACTGCAGTATAATATGGAAGCCTGCAGGCCTAACGGTCCTAGTAACTAGTATGGAGCCCTGAATAGTTACCAATACCATTTTGTAGGGTTCAAGGATGTACATGTTTTACCATATACCGAAAACCCTATTCCAGTTCTAACGGCACTTAAACTGCTACCGTATTCCAGCTATTATGGCCCCCAAATTTCTTTAGATCCTTGGCCCGTGAACCGTTGTTCTAGAAATGTTCAACTCTCTATAAAACTCTTTACATGCGCCCTTTCAAGTGTCCCTGTGGTAGCTAAGGCCGCTGTAGTATATAGTAGACACGCAGCTTGGAAGGTTCTTTGGGAATTCCATACACGACCAGATTCGGAGAAGATCCGTCGCCGATTGTTCCACAGCGGCAGAAAGGGGGTATTTGAGGGCTCATTCAGAGTTCTATGAGGGCTTCCGGGGTTTAGGCCCCATTGGGCTAGTTGGGTTGGCGGCAGAAGGATTCAGTATTTCGAGTGTCGGGCCGTCGTCACCAGAAAGCTCAGTAAAGCCCGGAATGACCCCAAACCGCACAGTAGGACCTGGGCGTCTTGTTGTAAGGATCTGGAGCAAGAGCTCCAATTAAGAAACCCTCATTTAAGTTGTTTCGTATAAGTGGGTAAAAACACTCTCAACCCACGTCAAGGGACTTATAGTTCCACTTATACAGTAACTACGCACGAGCCTCCAAGTACGCCTAAACCCTATAGTATGCTCTGACATCCCTTCTAGGAGCCCTTCTAGTATTCCTTGATAGGAACCCTGATAGCTCCGTTAAAGGAGCCCTTATAGTTCCTGCAAAGGAACCCTAAACCCTTAAGCTCCAAGTACTGCTTCATTAAGGGGACCTTAAGGACCTCAACGTCTGCTTCCACCCAGAGCCCTTTAAGTACTTGGAGGACCATGGGACTTAGTAAGTATGGTTATAAGTACCCTAAGTGGGGTTATATGTAGTTGTAAGTATAGTTACCTTAATTATAGCCCTAGTTACTAAGTCCCATGATCCTTTAAGTAGCCAAGGCCCGCAAACGGGGTTGAAGGTTTAGGTTTTTTGGGGGGCTCCTTAAGGAAGTATATGATTGCTATCAGGGATCTACACGGATACCATATAGGGTCTGGGGGGCTTAGGTTTTTTTAGGGTTTAGGGTCAAGGGGTTTAGGGTAGGTGGGTTCTGGAATACCCTACTTTGTTACTTGTTGTGGGACTTGTCCCTTAACGGAACCCTTATGTTATGAACTAAATGTATATATTTGTATCTCACTGGTTACTTCAACTCCTCTCAGGTGGCCAGGGACCCACAACAAGAATACGCTGGCCCTCCTAAGTAAATATTTGCCTCCACCGAGGCATCGTTTGCTAGGAGCCCCTCCGTCTTACAAGATCCTAACGGCTTAGGGTGCAGGCTTCATGGTTTAGGTTCAGAAACCCCCAAACCCCTAAACCCTAAAGCCTAAGCCCTAAGCCCCAAACCCCTAAACCCCCATAAACCACTAAACCAGTGGTGCTGGCACTTCAGCACTGCCAACGCCGGCCCGACGTTGAGTCAACGTGAAGCATTTTGGAAGCGGCGGTGGTAGAACCTCGAAGCCTGCAAGGCACCTTTCCGTTCAAACAATCAGAGAGGAAGGAATGACAAAGCCAAGCTTCGAAGGCTCGACGAGCTTTTCGGGTTCGATGAGCCTGATACGAGGGTTTACGAGATTGCACAGCAGCTGTTCGGGCTGTGCGCCTTCTACCTCTCGTCTGCTACCTGAGCTTCAACTGTCGGAGGAAGCGCCCAGACCTTCCAAAATCCCTTAATTAAGGAATATCCCTTAAATTATAGTAGGATCCTTAATATGATTTAAGGTATATTCCTTAATTAAGGGATTTTGGAAGGTCTGGGCGAAGAGGCTCCCTCCGGAGCAAAAGCGCAAGCTGGTCAAGTGCAGGTCCTTTGCACTGCTAAACTCGTCACGTAAAGACACACGCCCTAATGCACGGTTCTTCTATCCGCAGGGCAGGGGTGGAGAAGGTATCCTTCAGAAGATCCCTTTCTCAACGTGGTCTTTAGTTCCGCTTATAAGGATAGAACCATTGTTACTGGCCGTAGTATTGGATTGAGATCACAACGCAACGGCACTCTCCGAACCATTGGAAAGAAAACCCTGGTAAAGGAATTCTAGGACCCCATCAAGTGTACGCGACCCTAAATCGAGACCTGAAGAGTTCCTTTGAGCGAGCGCCGAAGCGCGCTGACGAAAAGCGCGCAGGGCGCTACCGAAAAAATCACTAAACCCTAAACCCTAAACTGAGCTTGTAGTAGCGTCGCGAGCCTCGAAGCTTTATGCCTTCCTAGCCCCCGAAATCCTCAACCCCCTCAACCCAAAAGATCCTAAACTCTCCACCCCTACATGCCTACACCCCCAAACCCTGAACCACTAAACCCTATAAACCCTAAACGCTTAAACCCCTAAATCCCTACACCCCTAAACCCTAAACCCTTAAACCCCTAAATCCTAAACCCCAAAACCCCTAAACCCTTAAACCCCTAAACCCCTAACCCCCAAACCCCAAAACCCCCAAACGCGTAAACCCCTCGGTCGAGGCCTTATGCTTCGGCCCTGACCGGCGCGGCCCGGGAGTCGGGGTGTCCCATGGCTTATGGATGGAGGTTTGGGGGTTGAGGGGTTTAGGGGTTGAGGGGTTTAGGGTTTAGGGGTTTAGGGGTTTAGGGGTTTGGGGGTTTGGGGTTTAGGGGTTTAGGGGTTTAGGGGTTTAAGGTTTAGGGGTTTAGGGGTTTAGGGGTTTAGGGGTTTAGGGGTTAGGGTTTTAGGGTTTAGGGGTTTAGGGGTTTAGGGGTTTGGGGATTTAGGGGTTTAGGGTTTAGGGGTTTGGGGTTTAGGGGTTTAGGGTTTAGGGGTTTAGGGGTTTAGGGTTTGGGGGTTTAGGGTTTGGGGGTTTAGGGTTTAGGGGTTGAGGGTTTACTACCTGGACCCCAAAGAACCTACCTTTTTAGAGCTCCTCATTAAATGCTTTCCTTATATAAGTCTTTAACAATGTAGGTTATATGGGATTAAGGTAGGGTTTAAGGGTTTAGTGTGTTGGGGTTTAGAGGTGTAATTAGGGTTGCGGGTTCCGTTACGGAAACGATGAGGGCTCCTACAAGGGATCTATACGGGTACTATGGCTTTGTAGGGCGGGATTTATAGGGTTTCAGGTTTTGTGAGTTTTGTGCTAAGGTTGAGGGATAGGGTGTTATAGCGGTTTGGCGGGGTCTGATGGGGTTATTTATAATATAATTGGCTGCAAGTACATCTACGTTTAACCAACGTTCGCCGTCGTTTTCGTTGCCTCAGCCGGCGTGGTTTCAGGGCCCTCATCATCAAAATCCGAGCTCCAGCCTAAACTTAGCCCAATCGTACCCCTTACGTGAAGTCGTCATTGCTGAGCTGTGCAATCTGGAACTTTGAAATCCTTGAAAGTTGAATCCCAAGCCTGATCGCCCAAACTGGCTTGGCCCTTGCCCTGCGGTTAAGTGGAGGATCATGGGACTTAGTAAGTCGGTTATAATTGGGTTATATGTCCCCTAAGTGGGGTTATCCTAAATATAACCTACTTATAACCTTACTTACTAAGTCCCATGAGCCTTTAAGTAACTAGTTGAAGGCCCAGGCTTGAGGATTGCCATCAATGATATGTTCTTACAGTGAACCCTGTGTTTGCAACCTGGTTTACGCCCACACAAGAACCCAGGTAATGAAGCTCGCAACGCTGTTTCTTCTCGCCGCTGCCGCGCAGGATTCAGGGTTTTCCGCATCACGGGTTGGGATTCATGGCGTAACTTTTCGAGTTGAGGGTCCCTGCAGCCAGTCTTTGCACCACACCTACACCCCATCAACCCCATAGCTCGCCAGGCTGACCTGTGAGTCGGATTCCTTCCATTCTGCGCATCATCCCGAAACACCCGGCCCGAAACCGATGTTACACGACAGTCTTAATTGTTTACTTGTTTACTTCGGCGGGAGTACAGATTCGTCGCATCAATGGAAACTAACATTTTTGTGGACCTGGAAACTCAGCAACTCAAAACAAAATTGACTTAGAGAACTCTTCTCTGCAACTGACTGCCGGCATCCGAACGCCACACAGAACTCCAAGGCCGGACGCGAGCTTCCCATGCAGAAGTTCATGAGTTTTTGAAAGCCTTTTGGGAACTCGGCCCCCGCGAATGCACAGGAAGCCCCAGAGTATCCAACCAGGCCCCAACCCCTTCTTGCGCACTCCTGTGCAGGCCTCCTATGTCACCTTTGAGGTTGACGCCAAAGGACATGGCCGACACGGCCGTTGCCAGGCTTCTGAAACATTCTGATTACCAATTCTGACCGCCGTCATGGATATCTTCGTCATCCTCGCAATGTCGTCGCTGTCAGTGCCGTCGCATCATCACAATCATCATCTTTAACATCATCATCGTCATCATAATCAACATCACCACCGCCACCACGACCACCACCACCACCACGACCACTACGACCACCACGACCAGCTGCAGCAGCAGCAGCAGCAGCAGCATCATCGTCGTCATCAACATCGGTATCATCGTGGTCCTCGCTAGCATCACCATTCATGAATACGTCCCTCCGCGCACAAACACACAGACACTGACACGGACACAGAAACTGAGATCTTATTGGGCTCGTGTGTTCTCTGATTTTTGAAGCCCTCAGCCCCGGCGCTGCCCCCTTGAGCTCAACAGTCAGTAAGTCAGTGGGGCGGTCCATACGGTTGATGATATAAATCCTGCATTACCCTAAGGACCCTAAACTATGGGAACAATGGTATATTCCGTATTATGGGTCATGCAGGGTTTAGATCATCAACAGTAGTGTACAAAAATCGCTTGAAGAGCCCCAAAACCCTTTTCCCAAGCGGTTTAACATTACTTCGCAACTGAGTGCCTTCTAAACCCCAACAATTAGAGAACCCCGATGCAGCCCGTTCAAAGGAACCCTGCTTGATAGTACTCGTATAGGAGTCTTTCTAGAACCCTTACAGATCCCTGAAAGCAACCACCTAAAACCTAAATCCTAAACCCTGAACCCCCAAGTCCCCTAACCCCTAAACTCTAAACCCTATAGTACCCTTTTCGATCCCTTACAGGAGCCCTTGTAGCTCTCTTATTGGATCTCCCACCTTTTTGAAAGCAGAACTCTTCGCCAGTTGGAGCCAAGGTTTCGTGTCCAACAAAGCTGAGGCAGACGCCGCAGAGAGTTCCAAGGACAGGGCAATCATCATAAGAGTTCCTTCAGGGTCTGGGGTGTGGGGTTTTGGGTGTGGGCTTTAGGGTACGTTTCTTTCGCAGTCGTCAGTATAGGAACAGATTAATTTTAGGGCCTGCGCAAGGTTTCTGGATTGGGGTTCTTTGCAGGGTTCACTATAAGGATAAAGGGGCCTTCATAGAGCTCTCAAAGCCTTTGTTGGGGTTCTATAAGGTTTCTGTGGAGGGTTTTAGAAGTAATGGTTGCTGCAACACTCAAGGAGCGGGTGTACCATGTTTCCTTGATTTCTTTGAGTGTTCTGTCTGCTTCCCTTAGGGTCCTTTAAGGGTTCTACAAGCTTCAGGGGTGGTATGTGGGCTCCTGTAGGGGTAGATTGAGTTTGACAGGGTCCTGTCAGGGCCCGTATAGGGTTCTGTAAGGGATTGGGGTTCTGGGGTTTACAGTTTGTTCCTGGGTTTGGGAAAAACGTTCAGTGTTTAGGGGGAAGTTTTTGGGTGTAGGAAAAGTGCTCAGGGATTGGGAGAATTGCAGCCATGAGTGGTGTAGCCATCGGCATGTGGACACATGCACCTCACGCACGTCACACAGACACACAAACACACACACACAAACACACACACACACACACACGAGGTACTGTGGGGTTTTGTGGCTTACGGTTTCTCGGCCGAACCCTGAACCCCCAGTTTGTTAGGGATGCCGACCCCCGCCAGTCCGAGACCATCGTGGAGAAGGTGCTCCGGGCTGCTGCGGAACGCTACTACTTAGAGGATCATGGGACTTAGTAAGTAGATAATCATTGGGGTTATAAGTCCCCTAAGTGGTGTCATCCTAATTATAACCTACTTATAACCTTACTTACTAAGTCCCATGAGCCTTTAAGTACTTCGGAGCAAGCGCTGCTGATTGTCTGCGGCGACGACCGCGACTCCTGCTTCTGCTGGTATTGGGACGACAGTATTATTTAGTGCTTCTGAGGCTGGTATAGCAGCAGCACTGTTTCCCATGTCGACAGAAGATCAAGGTCTAGACTCTCTACAAGAAGAGGATGCTCAGAACGACCTGCAACGACGCAGGTGAGATGTCATCACCGAAACCCCACTCCCAAACCCTATAAGCCCTAAACCCAAAACTCTGATATAAATCACTCTATACCCCATGCCCCAGACCCTAAACACTAAACCTGTAATCTAAACCCTAAACAGATCTACCAAAACTCAAATATCCTCAAGACCACGGAGCATCTAAACCCTAAATTATTCATAAAGTATTCAGGGTTTAGGGTGTAGGGTGTCAAGGTTTTGATTTCAGGGTTTAGGGGCTTTAGAGTTTAGGGTTTAGGATTAAGCGCTCATCCAGTATTGAAGGCCTCTTGAACAAGCCCTTGGACAACAAGGCATCAATATGTGTCAATAACTGTCGTTCTTAAGCTCGCAGATAAAGCCGATATGGCACCCCTTCCTGCAAGACGTTTTAAATTTATGACCAAGCCCGTCCCACAGGGGTCGGAACAATTATTGATGGTATCCACTTGTAGTCCCATGTGTATAATACACATATACACATATATACATATATATATATATATATATACATATATTACAATATAATTACGTACACATACTTATACATGTCGGTGTACAGTCCTTGTCCGCTTATACTACACCATGCCCAATTTTTTTGACCCTCACACCTAAACCTAAAGCCAGGCCCGAAACCCTTAATTCCGGAATCCCCAACACTCTAAACCCTTGAACCCTAAACAGCTAAACGCTAATCCCTTGAACCAGAATCCGCACAAATTTCTATATAGGGACCTGAGTTTGACAATTAGTGGTGGGGGGGATATTATACTATAGTCATAGTAAGGAATTCCCAATATAGTAGTTGATAATTATCATCCTGGCCCCTATACTTATTTTACGCATGTTTCCCGACGCTTTCGTGCCGAAGGTGAAGCCACGGCATGGCCGCTTCGTCAGCCACCTGCACAAGCACAAGCAGAAGCGCAAGGCATGGGAGATCCGTTTAAGGGAACTACTAGGGCTCCCATACGGGATCTATAAGGGGACTATAAAGGTCGGGGTATTAAAAGGGCTTTCTGGTTTACGGTATAGGGTTTGGGGGTTTCGGTTAAGGGTTGGGTCAGGCTTTGGCTCAAAACTGTGCTTCGTCCGATGCATGATTGCTGCAAGTGAGATGAACTTAAACAATATGGGAGCGTCCGAAAATTAGGATCATGCCCTGGCGACCCAGACACACATTACAAGCACAGATTCTTTCTGCACCGTCCTTCAATCGTGTTCTCGTTCGACCCAAACGACCCTACAGCCAAACACGCGAGCACTCGGACCCTCAATCGACGACCAAAGACTGGGTGAGCGCTAACTTTGGGGCCTTAATAGTTAGAATAAGGTTGTTTCAAAGGGTTGTTGCAAAGGGTCTATAAGGGATCTATAGTAGGGTTGTATAATATAGGGGCCTTAATAATTAGAATATGGTTTTTGGGCCCACCCCAAAATGGTATAGGTAATTCAGGCCCCTATTGCAGACCTCTAAGCGGCTGGCATGAAGTACCGGTGTCCATGGTAAGTGCAGCCACACGTCAGGTAACACACAAACATACTTGCATAAATACACACATACATACCTACGTACATGCATGCATACATACCTGTATATGTATGTATGTACGTACGTATGTAAGTATGAATGTATGGACGTATACATATATATATATACACACACACACACGCATACTAGCAGCTCCGGTTCAGGTTGCCCACGAACATGGTGTCAAACCCCATCAAGTGTTTGAATGCAGCCCTATACAAACACTACAGCCGAACAATACCCGCATGTGTAATGACCCTAGTAGCTGAGTAGGTAGCCTTTAACCTTTTGCGCTTTACACAATCCTACTACAATTGAGAAAGACAACCTTTTTTGGGCTAGGGTACTCAGCGCCCAAGTGACCCTGAACCCTCAACCCTAACCCCGAAACCCCACACCCTAAACCCGCACCCGTACCCTAAACTCCAAACTTTACAGTAACCCCTAAACCCTGAACCCCAAACCGAACTTGCAAGTAGGAGCATCTGTCGCAGGCGAGATCGCACAAGAAGGGTCGAGGCACGCGCACAGGCCTGGAAGCCCTTGTTTTGAGAGTTTTTGCAGGGTTGTGTAAAAGGGTTTAGGGGTTGAGGGGTTTGGGGGTTGAGGGGTTTGGGGGTTAGGTTTTAGGGGTTTAGGGTTGAGGGGTTTGGATTTAAGAGTTTAGAGGTAGGGTTTAGGAAGATGTTCTTTAGGACCACTTTAGGAACTCTTGTGTCGTTGTTGAAAACTAGAGCTTAGCCAAGCCATTGATTTCGTTTCCTCCCCAACGGGGCTTCTGACGATAAAGTTTCCATTTAAGGGTTTAGGGTTCACCTGGACTACTACCCTCTAATGTACCCCAAATACCCACTATTAAGGACCATAAGGGTTCTATTAAAGGGCACTTGGGGGTCCTGGCAGGGTTTAGGTTTCAGGGCTTTATACATAGCTAGGGTAGCTATTAGCTATAGTTGTAATCCACATCCAGGGTCTCATAACCCTATTATAACTACTTAGAGGATCATGGGACCTAGTAACTAGGGTTGTACTTGGGGTAGCTAACAAAACTTTACTTACTAAGTGTCAGGACCCGCCTTTTCTAGAACTCTTATAGATCCCTTTAAGGATCCCTTTGCAAGTAGGACATCGTGGATCATCGTGGTAAGTGCTCAGCTTTTGAAGCCCCTGCCCCCGATCCATGAAGTACCTCCAAAACCCGCTATGGAACCCTTAAATTTGAACCATCGTTGGGTTTAGAGTTTAGTGTTTATGGTTTACTTAGGGATGCCTCAAACAAGCCCTTCAACATCCTTTATTGAGCGTTTTCTCTTATCCTCCAGGCCACGCCGGACTTGCAGAGATGGAGGTCCGTGAGGCCGGCTTTGGCGTTCAAGGCGTAGGCGGTTTAAGGGTTAGGGTCTGTAGTATTTACTGTGGGGGTTTCGGGTTTAGAGGTAGGGTTCAATATATGGCTTAATTAGCGTATGAATATAGGGGCCTAAACAATTACCAATACTGTTTTGTCATATTTAACAGGTCAGTTGGACAATCAGGGTAAACCTTAAGCCCTAACACCTAAACCAATATAGAACCGCTATCGCTACGGGAACCATAAGCCTAAAGAGCGTTGCAAAAGGGTTCGGGCTTGTGTAGCTTGGGATAGAAGAGCTTCAAGTCCTGAACCTACCAAACCCATCAAGCCCCAAAATGCACCGGAACCTTGCGGTGCAGTTTTTCAAACAAGTGGAGGGCGGCCGAGCCGCCAAGGCCACGCAGGTAGCATAAAAGTTATGGTGGAAAGTTTCCGCATGTTTAAAAAACCACAGGTACTTCATCGTAAGTAGACTTGGCAGCCCAGGCCCCACGGCCGCGGAGGGACCCAGACCTTCCAAAATCCCTCAATTAAGGAATATACCTTAAATCATATTAAGAATCCTACTATAATTTAAGGGATATTCCTTAATTAAGGGATTTTCTAAGGTCTGGGGAGTTTACAGTAAGATCATGTGTTTACATATATAAGAATCCGCATGTTTAGTAGACCCCAAACCCCAAATCCCTCGACCCTGGGCCTGTGCCCTAGAGCCCAAACCCTGAACCCGAAGCCCCCACATGGAGGATCATGGGACTTAGTAAGAATGGTTAGAAGTACCTTAAACTTAATTGGGGATATAAGTGATTATAAGTATAGTTACCTTAATGACAACCCTATGGTTCCTAAGTCCCACGATCCTCGAAGTGAACCCGAAACCCCCAAGCCATAAAGTCGTGGAAGGCGGGTGCATTCAACGAGTCCCAGGCAGCAGGCAGAGGCCTGTCATGCTGAGGATAGGGTTTGGGGTTTTAGGGTTTAGGGTTTAGGGTTTAGGGTTTAGGGTGAAGGAAGCCTGAGGGGTTCCTTTCAGGGCTGTTTCGGGCGCTCCTAGAATATAAAGGATTTATATGAGTACTATGTATGGTGTATAGGGTCTTGTTTTTCGGGTTTGGCGTGGTGGGGCCTTCGGGCCGTTTTGGTTTAGGGTTTTAGGGTTTAGGGTTTAAGGTTTACTTAGGATAGACGTACTTGACGGGCCTCGTTTAAATAAAGGGTTCTAAAAAGAGCTCTGTCAGGGTGTCTATCTGGGTTTGGGATCACGGGACTTGGTGATTCGGACAAGGTCTTGGGGGATATTTGACCATAAGCCTGTGTTGGGAGTATGTGGAGTACCATACCTGAATACAATTTTGGTACCTTGTCCTTAAAGGAACGAGTATGAAATACCAGTCTATACTTCTTTATCCCTGGTTACTCCAATCCAGTAAGTATAGTAAAAAAACTCTAAGGAATGATGTTGCTAGGTATTCAGGCTTCTTTACTAATGTAGGTGCCCTGTTTGAGGGTTTGGGAAAGGGCTTGATAAGGGTTCCTTATGGTTAGACTCGGGTCGGAGATACAGGTTCAGTAAGTTTCGGTTTCTTTATTTCCTGGTTTGGAGGGTACAGGGGGTTCTCCTCGTTGTCCTCAATGCGGGGACATTGAATGGAGTTTTGTTCGGTTGCTTGCTGGAGCAAGTTTAACTACCCTAAACCCTAGAACCTAAACCCTAAACCCTAGAACCTAAACCCTAGAACCTAAACCCTGAGCTGCACTGCCGCCCCCTGGAAAAAGGAGTTCAAAAAAAAAACCCTGAACCGTTTGAGTTGTGGCTGTTCAGGTGACGAGGATGGTTCAGACAAGAAGCCATCGGTGCAGGCGGGAACTTCCACTTTTTTTACTCTGCCCGTTGCTGCAAAGCTCGAAACCCCGCAAACCTCAAAATCCAGGCCCTAGGCTTTGCGATGCTGTCCGAGGTCTGCCGCCACGACCCTCAAACCCAAGCCCGAAGTTGGATTCAGGGTTTTTATTCCGATACTTGTAGAAGCTGCCTATGCCATGGCCTAGGAGTAGTGCGTGAAATACACGAAAGCCTAAATCCCAAGCTCGGTACACCCTAAACCCTAAGTAGCTTTGCTTCGGACCTGAAGGCATGAGGCTAAGAAGGTTCGGGAAGTAAAGGTTCTGTAATCGAAGGGTTCAGGAATGGTTTGAAGGTTGATTTAGGGTATGTATATCTCTATCTATCTGTCGATCGACCGACCTACCCATCTATCCGTCTGTCCGTCTATCTATCTACCTATCCATCTGTCCATCTACGGTACATGTGTCTTTATGCCAGGAAAACGCATATGCGGCTCTGTAGCTACTCGCCGTGCATGCCAGGTAAAGTACCTTCAAGGGCCACTCGGCTGCATCGATGGAGTTTAAGGAGTACCCTAAGGCCCCAAAGTAGCTTCCTTTTGGGGATTCAGATTTAGAATCCATAAGGTTAATTATCCCAAAACCTTAAACCCTAAACCCTATGGGGCCTCAGGATAAGTACCCCCTACTCCCAACAAGGAACTACTTTGGGGCCTTCTGGGTAGGGTTTAGGGTCGATGGAGCATCGCTGCGCAGCTCTGCCCTGAACCCTACGCCCGCAGCTTAATACAGGGGCCTGGATTAGAGAGTAGGGGTCCCTTTAAAGGGATCCTTTAAAGGGTTCTATAAGGGATCTATAGTAGGGTTCTATGATTTGGGGCTCGGGGTTTAGGATTTAGGCTTTGGGGAGGAGTTTAGGGTGTAGGGATTTGGGTGGAGGGGTTCAGGGTTTAGGGATCCATAGGGGGCTCCGATGTGTGGGACGGGTAGTGAAGCTTGTAGTTAGCCGGTTTGGGGTCTCTAGGGTTTCTCTATGCTATATAGGGTTATGGTTATAGGGTCTGTTTAGGGTGTATAGGTTTTAGGGCTTGCAGGATGTGTAAGGTTTAGGGCTTGAGGGTTTCAGGCTTTCTGGGCCTAGGACAACTACAGAGCGACATGTTGTCTGTCGGTTACGTCCTACTTGGAGGATCATGGGACTTAGTAACTAGGGTTATAAGTAAGGTAGCTGTACCTATCACTACTTATACCCCCGCTTTAAGGTACTTATAACCTTACTTACTAGGTCCCATGACCCTCCAAGTAAACTTGCCCGAGAACCAAGGTGCACCGCCCCCCTAACCTCGGCCTGGCATGGTGGTGTCCACGCGTTTGCTTACGGAGGCGTACCTGTTGTAAATTAGCGGTTTGGGGTTTAGGGTTTAAGACCCGCTTTCCGACTGCTACCGGAGCAGCAGCTCTCACCGGATAGAACCGGCGCTGCGAATTGGTGAAATTGCCGCTCCCACAGCGCTTCGACGTGAAGCTATGCGGGAGAATCCGAAAATTAGGGGTACCTTTTGGGGGTCCTTATAGTAAGGATCCTACTATTTAGGGTACTATATCAGAAGGTCCCCTATTTTCGGAAACTCCCATGCTGTCGTTCCACAATGTTGGAGGAGCTCAACACTGCTTCCCTAAAGCTCCATGAACCCATATAGTATATACTTAGGCCTTAAAATGCCTATATAGGGACCCCTTTAAGGCTTAAGTATCTACTATAAAGGTCCATGGAGCCTTTTGGCTTTCTCCCGCTTGTTCGAGGAGCGGCAGCTAAACTCTGCTGCGCGCAGGTAGCGAGTCTACTTAAAGGCTCATGGGACTTCGTAAGTAAGGTTATAAGTAGGTTTTGATTAGGATAACCCCATTTAGGGGACTTATAACTCCAATTATAGCCTACTTACTAAGTCCCAGGATCCTCTAAGTAGCACCGGTGGCACTGCAGACGATCTGTGCGTGGCAGGGTCTGCCGAACAGGCCAGGTGGACGACTTCCGAGACGTTTGTGTTCCCTCCCAGGTTTGATCTAACCATCACAGTTCGGTGTTGGGACCTGTCTGGACATTTCCGGACCGTGCCTCAAGGACTTCCATCCTTCTGTGGAAGTGCGAAAGGGAGGGACGCTTGGGGTTGGTCAGAAGGAATTTGATTCGGACACGCTTTACTTAAAGGCTCATGGGACTTAGTAAGTAAGGTTATAAGTAGGCTATAATTAGGATAACCCCACTTAGAGGACTTATAACCCCAGTTATAAGCTACTAAGTCACATGATCCTCTAAGTACTCGCCCTTGCAGATTGGGTTGAAGCAGACCCGGGCGGCGACGCTTTTCCTGCTTGCCAAGTCGAGAACCCTTCAAAGAATCCCGGCAGAAGCCCTAGGGCCTGTAAACTCCTATTCCAAAGATGAAGATTCAGGCATAGAGTCCGAGGTTTCACTCATCGAAAAACAGCTGAGGTACTGCCCCTCTGCTGGAGCCAAGGTGGCCGCTCGGCAACCTGCGTGATGCCTGTCAGGTTTAGGGTTTTAGGGTTCATTGTAGTAAGTTTGTTCATAAACCATAAATAGCGCACTGAGAGAAGTTAGGAGAGCTTCACCAAGGTTTTATCATATGGCTTTTCTAAAGGATTTGGCCGTGACTTTGTGCGGGTGAGCCTTCACAAGGTTGCAGAAGAAGCCTTTACAGGGCTCCACAGTTTCTTTTAAACGGTTGGAAATTTATGGTGTTCCCTCAAGGCTTTCAGAGTTTTTGGCTTTAAATCAGTTGGATGGATTCTGAAAAGTTTGTACCCAGGTTTGCGGCTTTTCCTGCGTGTCTTGACCGATGAAGGGTTTACATGCGGATGTTTTGGGACGGGCCTCCGGCGTTAAGAGCCTTTTTGCGTGTGGGGTGGCGGGAGCTGAAGGTTCCGAACCCTAAACCCTAAACCAGGATTTCATGGTGTAGGTTTCGCGTTTTTGGATGAGGCCAGCTCCTTAGCTGCAACTGCCTTCAGCGACTACTCCTGGTTGGTGGACATGAAAACCGTCAGCAGCATTCTCTCCACCCACTGGGCGAGCATCATCAGCATCAGCTGCGATTGTCCTTAGCAATCACTTTCAGCTGGTGCGCATCACAGGCATTAGCAGCTGGTTGCAGAATCCAACGAATGGGCGAGCATCATGAGCAGCAGCTGCAACTGCCTTCAGCGACTACTCCTGGTTGGTGGACATCAAAACCGTCAGCAGCATTCTCTCCACCCACTGGGCGAGCATCATCAGCATCAGCTGCGATTGCTCCTAGCGATTATTCTCAGCTGGTGCGCATCACAGGCATTAGCAGCTAGTTGCAGAATCCAACGAATGGGCGAGCATCATGAGCATCAGCTGCAACTGCCTTCAGCGACTACTCCTGGTTGGTGCACATCAAAACCGTCAGCAGCATTCTCTCCTCCCACTGGGCGAGCATCATCAGCATCAGCTGCGATTGCCCCTAGCGATTATTCTCAGCTGGTGCGCATCACAGGCCTTAGCAGCTAGTTGCAGAATCCAACGAATGGGCGAGCATCATGAGCATCAGCTGCAACTGCCTTCAGCGACTACTCCTGGTTGGTGCACATCAAAACCGTCAGCAGCATTCTCTCCTCCCACTGGGCGAGCATCATCAGCATCAGCTGCGATTGCCCCTAGCGATTATTCTCAGCTGGTGCGCATCACAGGCCTCAGCAGCTAGTTGCAGAATCCAACGAATGGGCGAGCATCATGAGCATCAGCTGCAACTGCCTTCAGCGACTACTCCTGATTGGTGACATCCAAACCGTCAGCAGCATTCTCTCCACCCGCTGGGCGAGCATCATCAGCATCAGCTGCGATTGTCCCTAGCAATCACTTTCAGCTGGTGCGCATCACAGGCATTAGCAGCTAGTTGCAGAATCCAACGAATGGGCGAGCATCATGAGCATCAGCTGCAACTGCCTTCAGCGACTACTCCTGGTTGGTGCGCATCAAAACCGTCAGCAGCATTCTCTCCACCCACTGGGCGAGCATCATCAGCATCAGCTGCGATTGCCCCTAGCGATTATTCTCAGCTGGTGTGCATCACAGGCCTCAGCAGCTAGTTGCAGAATCCAACGAATGGGCGAGCATCATGAGCATCAGCTGCAACTGCCTTCAGCGACTACTCCTGATTGGTGCACATCAAAACCGTCAGCAGCATTCTCTCCACCCACTGGGTGAGCATCATCAGCATCAGCTGCGATTGTCCCTAGCAATTACTCTCAGCTGGTGTGCATCACAGACCTCAGCAGCTAGTTGCAGAATCCAACGAATGGGCGAGCATCATGAGCATCAGCTGCAACTGCCTTCAGCGACTACTCCTGATTGGTGACATCCAAACCGGCAGCTGCATTCTCTCCACCCGCTGGGCGAGCATCATCAGCATCAGCTGCGATTGTCCCTAGCAATTACTCTCAGCTGGTGCGCATCACAGGCCTCAGCAGCTAGTTGCAGAATCCAACGAATGGGCGAGCATCATGAGCATCAGCTGCAACTGCCTTCAGCGACTACTCCTGGTTGGTGCACATCAAAACCGTCAGCAGCATTCTCTCCTCCCACTGGGCGAGCATCATCAGCATCAGCTGCGATTGCCCCTAGCGATTATTCTCAGCTGGTGCGCATCACAGGCATTAGCAGCTAGTTGCAGAATCCAACGAATGGGCGAGCATCATGAGCATCAGCTGCAACTGCCTTCAGCGACTACTCCTGATTGGTGACATCCAAACCGTCAGCAGCATTCTCTCCACCCGCTGGGCGAGCATCATCAGCATCAGCTGCGACTGTCCCTAGCAATTACTCTCAGCTGGTGCGCATCACAGGCATCAGCAGCTAGTTGCAGAATCCAACGAATGGGCGAGCATCATGAGCATCAGCTGCAACTGCCTTCAGCGACTACTCCTGATTGGTGCACATCAAAACCGTCAGCAGCATTCTCTCCTCCCACTGGGCGAGCATCATCAGCATCAGCTGCGATTGCCCCTAGCAATTCTCAGCTGGTGTGCATCACAGGCATTAGCAGCTAGTTGCAGAATCCAACGAATGGGCGAGCATCATGAGCATCAGCTGCAACTGCCTTCAGCGACTACTCTTGATTGGTGACATCCAAACCGTCAGCAGCATTCTCTCCACCCGCTGGGCGAGCATCATCAGCATCAGCTGCGATTGTCCCTAGCAAGTACTCTCAGCTGGTGCGCATGACAGGCCTCAGCAGCTAGTTGCAGAATCCAACGAATGGGCGAGCATCATGAGCATCAGCTGCGATTGCCTTCAGCGACTACTCCTGATTGGTGCACATCAAAACCGTCAGCAGCATTCTCTCCTCCCACTGGGCGAGCATCATCAGCATCAGCTGCGATTGCCCCTAGCGATTATTTTCACCAGGTGCGCATCACAGGCCTCAGCAGCTAGTTGCAGAATCCAACGAATGGGCGAGCATCATGAGCATCAGCTGCAACTGCCTTCAGCGACTACTCCTGATGGCTACGCATCAAAACCGTCAGCAGCATTCTCTCCTCCCACTGGGCGAGTATCATCAGCATCAGCTGCGATTGTCCCTAGCAATTACTCTCAGCTGGTGCGCGTCAAAGGCCTCAGCAGCTAGTTGCAGAATCCAACGAATGGGCGAGCATCATGAGCATCAGCTGCAACTGCCTTCAGCGACTACTCCTGATTGGTGCGCATCAAAACCGTCAGCAGCATTCTCTCCTCCCACTGGGCGAGCATCATCAGCATCAGCTGCGATTGCCCCTAGCGATGACTCTCAGCTGGTGCGCATCACAGGCCTCAGCAGCCAGTTGCAGAATCCAGCGAATGGGCGAGCATCATGAGCATCAGCTGCAACTGCCTTCAGCGACTACTCCTGATTGGTGCACATCCAAACCGTCAGCAGCATTCTCTCCACCCACTGGGTGAACATCATCAGCATCAGCTGCGATTGTCCCTAGCAATTACTCTCAGCTGGTGTGCATCACAGACCTCAGCAGCTAGTTGCAGAATCCAACGAATGGGCGAGCATCATGAGCATCAGCTGCAACTGCCTTCAGCGACTACTCCTGATTCGTGCGCATCAAAACCGTCAGCAGCATTCTCTCCTCCCACTAGGCGAGTATCATCCGCATCAGCTGCGATTGCCCCTTGCGATGATTCTCAGCTGGTGCGCATCACAGGCATCAGCAGCTAGTTGCAGAAGCCAGCGAAAGGGCGAGCATCATGAGCATCAGCTGCAACTGCCTTCTGTGACTATTCCTGGTTGGTGCACATCAAAACCGTCAACAGCTTTCTCTCCACCCACTGTGCGAGCATCATCAGCATCAGCTGCGATTGTCCCTAGCAGTTACTTTCAGCTGGTGCGCATCACAGGCCTCAGCAGCCAGTTGCAGAATCCAACGAAAGGGCGAGCATCATGAGCATCAGCTGCAAATGATTTGCAGCGACTACTCCTGATTGGTGCACATCCAAACCGTCAGCAGCATTCTCTCCACCCGCTGGGCGAGCATCATCAGCATCAGCTGCGATTGTCCCTAGCAATCACTTTCAGCTGGTGCGCATCACAGGCATCAGCAGCCAGTTGCAGAATCCAACGAATGGGCGAGCATCATGAGCATCAGCTGCAACTGCCTTCAGCGACCACTCCTGATTGGTGCACATCCAAACCGTCAGCGGCGTTCTCTCCACCCACTGGGCGAGCATCATCAGCATCAGCTGCGATTGTCCCTAGCGATAACTCTCAGCTAGTGCGCATCACAGGCCTCAGCAGCTAGTTGCAGAATCCAACGAATGGGCGAAATCATGAGCATCAGCTGCAACTGCCTTCAGCGACTACTCCTGATTGGTGCACATCCAAACCGTCTGCAGCATACTCTTCACCCACTGGGCGAGCATCATCAGCATCAGCTGCGATTGCCCCTAGCGATTATTCTCAGCTGGTGCGCATCACAGGCATCAGCAGCTAGTTGCACTATCCAACGAAAGGGCGAGCATCATGAGCATCAGCTGCAACTGCCTTCAGCGACTACTCCTGGTTGGTGCACATCAAAACCGTCAGCAGCATTCTCTTCACCCACTGGGCGAGCATCATCAGCATCAGCTGCGATTGTCCCGAGCAATTACCCTCAGCTGGTGCGCATCACAGGCATCAGCAGCTAGTTGCAGAATCCAACGAATGGTTGAGCATCATGAGCATCAGCTGCAACTGCCTTCAGCGACTACTCCTGGTTGGTGGTCATCAAAACCGTCAGCAGCATTGTCTTCACCCACTGGGCGAGCATCATCAGCATCAGCTGCGATTGTCCCTAGCAATTACTTTCAGCTGGTGCGCATCACAGGCATCAGCAGCTAGTTGCAGAATCCAACGAATGGGCGAGCATCATGGGCATCAGCTGCAACTGCCTTCAGCGACTATTCCCGCTGGACCTTCAGCGACCCTTCTCTCCACCGAGTCGCCCCATCAACCCGACATGGGGATCATTTGTTCTTGGCAGTTAGGGAGCAGGATGGGAGTCAAGGATTTTCAGGTTTGATTGTGTTTCGGGCCCGAAGCCCTCGACCCTCAATCCAACGGCCCTAAACCCTAAAACTAGACTTAAGCTCTACTTCTACTATAGGGGCCTAGATGATTACCGTTACTATTGTGTGGTTCTTTTTTGTGGTGTACTACAAGCCAAACCCTTTCTAACTGTTAAGGCTCCTACATTACGCCGAACCTCCGTGGCGGAATAAGAGCTCAGGTGACGTTCGGAGCGGATCACACCGAGGAGGACTCCGGTCCCTTTGTCTGCAGGATGTAGGAGATGTCGAAAATTAGAGGTAGTGTATTTCGGGGTCCTTATAATAAGGTTCCTCGATAAGGGCACTATATTGGGGTCCCACATTTTCGAAAACTCCCATGTGAGCATTGTGCAAGCGTCCACAGAACACAGAAGTTAGCTACTCGGGTTGAGGATGGTAGTGTTACAGACTAGTATTTTGCAAATTCTTGGAGGTTGCAAGCATTCTATATAGAAGCCAAGATGATTACTAATACTGTTCCTTGGGCTGCCAAGAGCCTACATTGCCTGGACACATAGGCATTGTTCAGGTGTACGATGAGGCCCTTCGTTTTAGAGCAGCAACGAAGGATCGGGATCAGCAGTTCGACTCCCTCTAGGATGTAGGGCTTCGAGTTTGGGAATCAGGGTTCATGGTTCGTGGTTTCGGGTTTGGGGATTAGGGTTCGGGGTTTGGTGATCAGGGTTTAGGGTTTGAGGTTCGGGGATCAGGGTTTAGGGTGTAGGCTTTGGGGATTCGGGTTTTAGGTTGCCTGAAAGGTGCCTGATGGCTGCCCCTGTCCTTTCGCAGAGCCCAGCCCATCGACGGAACTTGGGACCGTACCACGTACTGTGCGGGCTTGACACCAAGACTGGTTTACGTTATAAACCCTAGAACCCTAATCCCATAAACCCCTAATGTGGAAGTCAGCTAAAGAAGCAGCAAGGCCCAAGAAGCGAAAACCTACCCCATCGTCAAGAAACCTATCCTTAGGGTTCTTTTTCGCAGTGATACCCGAATGTCACAGTCCAATTACTATAAGGCTTACCAAACACCTTTAAATGCCTGATAAACTCTTCAAAGGGGCCCCATTCTACTTATGAAGGCCTCCCTCTCTCTCTCTCTCTCTCTCTCTCTCTCTCTCTCTATATATATATATATATATATCACAGAACCTGTCGCCAAGAAGCCACGACGACACAGCCACCGGACCTGGCTGCAGAAAACGCTATGGCCTGAGAAGACAGGTCTTGGTTAACTGTTTGCTCTTAGGGTTCTTAACAGTTTTTTGGTATTCCTCAGAGCTTGGGGTGAGCCACGCATAACAGACAGGAGCGTCGGTAGTTTACATAGCACTATTGAATAACAATTATGACTTTGATTATGCGGTTGCATTCATGCGGATGGCCTTTCGTGGACAGTAGCATCAGTATGGCGAAGGCGAGAGAGGCAAAATTTGAGCTTTTTCTGCCGTGCTTAATTGTAGTTGCTGGCATTGAAGCCAGTTCACGAATCCTGATGCTTTGGGTTTATATTCCTATAGTGTGTGGCTTCACGTCTGGGACGCGGCAACCTTGAAAAATGAGGTCTACCCTAAGCCTACATATATAAATCAAGACTTGCACGAGCAGCATCAGGAGTTCAGACAGCTGCTGAATAGTCACTCACTATGAATCAATTTGCGGTTTACTATGAGGTCTACCCTAAGCCTATATAAATCAAGAATTGCACGAGCAGCATCAGGAGTTCAGACAGCTGCTGAATAGTCACTCACTATGAATCAATTTGCGGTTTACTATGCAGATTGGAGGAATTTCCCATGTGATCCCTACTACCGTAGACTCGAAGCTCCGATGTCAACTCCTGTTATGGCTCGTTCGCATTGCATACCACCGAGACTCTCAATCCTTTTACTACGTACTTACTACGAAACTCGCGCACGAGGCGGTTGGCTCCTGTGATCTTGCGAGCCCCTAAGTGCCAAAATTCCCTCAAAAGGCTGAGCACAAGCCATACATTTTAGCCTCGGCCTAAATCCTGCAAAATCAGGGTTTAGGTTCGCAGTACATTAGTTATGCTCTTCAAACAACAAATGAATTCAAGCTGCCCCCAGGTCCTGTAAGATTCGAGGCCTAGAACCCCTGGCCAGACACTCCTGAGGGGGGTTGTTCTGATTGCTGGTTACCTTTGACGGATAAGAAGCCCTGATGGCCTCCTACTCCTTTCCTTTGTTCATGGTTTTATACTATTGTCATGCTGTTCTGCGAACATGGTACGGATATGTACCAGAGTTCTTTCAGGCTGCTAAATCTAAATCTGCTTAAGGACAAGTAATCAGTGTTCGAGTTACGGGGTAGTATGAGGTCTTAAATGATCGCAAGTATTTGTTATTCCTAACTTACAGCTCATCAGTATATAAGTGTGCTGCAATGTCCTCCCAAAACTCGATTCAGGTTGTTTAAGGACGGGAACCCTAAACCTCTCAAACCCCTAAACCCTAAACCCCAAAAACTTAAACCCCAAAGCCCTAGACCCTAACCCCAAACTAAAATCCGAAACCTTAAACCTGCAACCCTAAGCCCCTAAACCTTCAGCCCTAATCCCCAAGACCCTAAACCCTAAACGGGATATCTGGAGACCTTTTTCTCGCCCAGGCCGCCAAGAACGCGCTCTCGCAGAATGTTTGTCCGTACCGTTACTATGCGACTTGGCTTTTGTGGGGGAGAGGTCTTCTTTGCAAGGGCTCAGGGTATGCGGGTTTAGGGCTGCTGCGGTTTGTGTAATGTTTCGACATGAGTTGTTCTATCATGGGCTTCTGGGTTTTGGGCTTCAGGGCCTCAGGGTATCGAGCCTTGATGGTGGGCTTCTAGGGAGCTGGTCCAGGTTTAGAAGTGTTACAAGTATGCTTTCATAGCTGTGTAAGGGTTGATGTGGATTGTTTTTGTGTACTGAACCCTGAACTGTAAACCCTAAACCCCTAAAGCCCAAAGCTCCAAGCCCCCTAAACCACCAAACCACAAACCCCTTAACTCAACCCAAACCCTCAACCCTAAACCCCAAGCCCTATACCCTAAACCGACGGTCAACATAATTCAAAAAAGAACCCTAAGCCGACCCTCAAGACCTTGAGCTGCAGAGAGGGGCACTTAAAGGCTCATGGGACTTAGTAAGTAACGTTATCAGTCGGTTGTAATGAGGATAACCCCACTTACACTACTTATAACCTCGATGATAACCTACTTACTACGTCCCATGATCCTTTAAGTAGACCCTAAACCCTAGACCCTATAGATCCCTTCAAGGAACCCTCTAGATCTCTTTAAGGAGCCCTTTAAGGAGCCCTAGTTACTAAGTCCCATGATCCACCAAGTAGACCCTAAACCTTATAGATCCCTTTAAGGAACCCTATAGATCCCTTTAAGGAGGCTTACTGATCCTCTAAGCAAGACGAGGTCTTCGAAGTCCTCGAGACAGTCGGGGGCTCCACGTCATGGGAGATCGCCGAACTTCGCCTGTGCCCTGCTGGGCCATCTCTGGATTCTTCGGGTTTGGGGTTTAGGGTCTCTGGATTCTTCGGGTTCAGGGTTTAGGGTTTCTAGATTCTTCGTGTTTAGGGTTTAGGGTTTACTGGATTCTTCGGGTTCAGGGTTTAGGGTTTACTGGGTTCTTCGGATTCAGGGTTTAGGGTTTCTGGATTCTTCGGGTTTTTTTAGGAGTGCCAAGCGCTGCCGACTGTCTTTCTGTACAACTGGAAAATATGTGAAGCGCGCGTAGGCGCAGTACTCAAGCGATCGCCGAAGAGCTTGTTTTTCTGAAGCATTTGTTTGAAACCTAAGAAATCCCGTCTATGGTCCTTATATTGGGCGGAGTGGTCTAGATAGTGGTTCAAGTATTCTAACGCATGTGAAGAAACTAGTTCGAACCAATACCTTGCGGGGTGGCCTCTGTGTCTTGATTTGGTATACTTAATGCGATCTTTGTACCCGGGGGAGAAGACTACGTGATGTTGGGGGAGGTGTGGCGGAGTAGTCGTGGCTTGTATAAGGAGCTTGAACTGTTGCGACAAAAGAGTTTGGGAAGGGATGGGATGTTTTCCTGAATCTACCCATACGGTTTTGTTGGGGATCCGGGAGTAGTATGAGACTTTGATGTTGATGGCTCTTCTTAGGTACCTAAAATACCAGCCGTCTATGGTTCGGAAGTGGTGCTTTTCGAGGGTAAGAGTTTCCAGGGCGTACGTGTATACTGGGACGATGCAGGCGTGGAAGATTCTGGATTTTACTGAGCGGGGCAGTCTGCTCTGCCATACATGTTGGAGCTTTAGGAAGGCCGCGTGAGCTTTAATGGACCTAGCTGCGATTGCGGCTTTGGTTGGTTTGTCCCAAGTAACCTGTGAACCTAAATACTTGGTTTCGGAATTTAAGGGGACAGGAGAGTTATCTGCGTAATGAAGTTGACCTGGCTGAGTGGGGTAGCGGAGTAGCTCGGTTTTCTCTAGATTTAGCTGCAGACCGTAAAGGGTGCATGGCTTCTACCTGGACAGCTTTCAGGATTTCCTCTAATTGTGCGCCCGTGACGCCCATAAGTATATATAGAGCATCATCCATTCTTCGGGTTTAGGGTTTAGGGTTTCTGGATTCTTCGGGTTTAGGGTTTTAGGTTTCAGGGCTCTTAGGGTATTGGTTGTGTGTTTTTTGCTTGAGGCGCGGTTTCAGTCGTTGACAGTTGTATGTCTTGTTCGTGTTTGTTTTACAAAACGAATTGTTGAGTATTGTGCTTCGGACTTGTTGTTTTCTGTGTTATAGCTCGGATAGTTAGGTTTAAGAAGTTTAAGAAGGGTGTTGCTTTGTTGTTTGTTGAATGAATAGGTTTCCATTTGGTTTTCTATAGGGCCTATTGGGTTGCAGTGTAGGGCCTAAATAATTACCAACACAATTTAGGGGGGTTCCTTGCTATAAGTATAGTGTAATGGGCCCAAAACCATAAGCCCCCTATAGTAGTGTTTTCCATTTGGTTTTGTATAGACCCTGTTGGGTTGCAGTCTTTGCTTTCGTTTCTGTGGCGATGTTCCAGACAGGGTTTCTGCGCAAGTGCCTGAAAGCTGATGCGCTAGTGAGAGTCGAGGCTTGGGTGCTTCAAAGTCTTAAACCGGCTTTGTCGAGGTGTTTCCCGGGCTCAATCTTGGAATCAGGGGCAATGTGGTGTTATTCCGAACGGTTCAGTGGTGATTCAGAAGTGTGATTCTAAATTAAATGTAACTGCATCAGGTTTGATTTGTATTCGAGTTCTGGCGAAAATATATACAGAGTGTTATACATGTCCGACAGAATGTTGATAAGTCTTCGGGTCGCCGCTGGAGATGTTCGCAATGAAGACAGATATAGATACCTTCAACTCTACTCCAAAGTTCATACCCAGACCCCTAAACATCCCTAGTACTCGCTAAGCTTTGCGTCCAAAACCACCCCTATGGGAATCGACCTTATGGCCCAACGGGTGTACTATATGCGTATGTGCAGTGGCGCGGTATGTTGGTCGATAGCGTATTTATTCTTCAATCCTCGCTCGATTTTACAACGGCACGCTCTTCGGTGTCCCCTATAACCATGTAACCTGAACCTGTTGTAGCTATCCCAAAATGAAACGCCTATAAACCCTTAGACATCCACAGGGTTTGCGGTCCAGAAAACTGTACTCTGGTACCCTAAACTCTAAACCCATGCAAGCAACAGAGCCCTCGTAGAACCCATGCTAAGGGTGTAGGGCTTAGGAACCCTAGTGGTAACCCTCAGCAGAACCCCACACTGGCTTCTCGGAGCCACCTTAGGCTACGGTGGTCTGTACACATCTCTTCAAAAAAGCCGAAGCGTCCACCGAGTAGAACCCCAGGGTTCCTTAAAGGATCGACATGGGTTCATGGGGTTTAAGGTTAACCTGTGGCTCCATGTGGGAGTGTCCGAAAATTGGGGGCATCTTATTTTGGGGTCCTTATAAGAAGGATCCTACTATTTAGGATATTGTATTAGGGTCCCCCATTTTTGGAAACCCCCATGTAGTTACTGCTTATTAATTTTAGAGCTCTCTCCGATTTTGTCAGCTTATGGCCTGCTATTTTGTAGCACTTGCGGCTACAGGTACTATTCCGACAAGAAGTACGGTCGAAGGAGAGCCGGGCATTGCCTGCATTCCCAGATGCTCCTCACTTAAGGAATGCCAAACTAGGGGTT